AGGCGGCATCATTCCTGCGTCAAGGAGACCATTTTGGACAGCATTAAGTGCCCTTCCCCACTCAAGTGTGGAAGGAAGACAGACAAAAGAGAAGCAATCAAATAAAACGAACCACAAAATTGAAAGGAAGCCTTTTGTTTATCGAGGAATCTCACTTATCTGCGGACACCCAATGTGGTAGGAACGGAGAACCCGTTTCAGCATTACCAGTTGACCTGTTGTCTTTTGGCACAATTCGTGTGAATTCCACTTTTAAATGCACACAAAAGTTGAATTTCAGCTGTCAAGGTAATGCTTAAAGCAATGCAGTAGAATTGTATTTCCAATGTCAGCGGCTATCCAGGTAAAGCAGAAGACACCTCAATCACAATTAACAGAATCACCGGTTGCCAATGTCATAGCTCCTCTCCCTTTCCTCCTCGCTTCAAAAAAAAATGTCACATTATGAATCAAGCGCTCAAAAAGTGAAAAAAAATTATGGTAGAATGTGAAATGCATTACACATGGACGCAGAGTAACACTGAAGGTTGAGAGAGCATTGTGGGGAGCCTTGACGATGGCCAATTTGAGTGCCTGCACACGCATTAACACCTGTGTGTCACAGCGCACTCTTCATTAAGGATGAAGGGTTTCCCTGATTTGCATTCCAAAATAGGCCGGCCAGGGCATATATTTGTGAATATGGGGAGTCAAGACTGAGCCAACAGGCAATTTTAGCCCACATTGGACTAAAGTGCACACACCAACCTTGGATGCTCGGAGGCAGCAGGTGCCTCATACTCACAAGCCGTGTTGTGAATATCTCGTCTCGCCTTACTTCTGACAATAACTGCTGCGCTATTTTGCAACACGTCATGAATACCACGAAGTAGGAGGAGTTTACTGGTTCCCCACTGGAGGCAATCGCCTTTCTACGGAAGCCACCAAACGAGATGTGAAAATCCAAAAAATCAAAAAGTCCCTATTGTTGTCGAGAAATGAAGGGAACTCGAATCAGGAAACAGGAAGAGATAGTCCATTTCCACGCAAATGACCTCGATGAGTGAACACTGTCGGATTCAAGTGAAGGGAGAAGGAGATGAATCAGAATTACCACGCTCCACTGTCCTCCTCAGCTGAACTGATCAGTACTGTGCGCCATAAACTGATCACTTTGAGAGGAAAGAGGAGGCCTCAAAGTGTCACACATCAACTAAGTTGACAAGAGTGACTACTTTTCACAACAACCTATTTCAAGGTGTTATTACAAAAAGGATTTCACCAAGTTGGTTTAATGAATGATTAGCAGGCCAAGAAGAGATTGCACTAACGCCCTGTTCAATTTTTTTTTTGCATCTGAAAGTGCCGATTGTACCTTTATAAAACTATTTTGGCATTTAAGTGTGCGTGTGGAGGTGGGGAAAAGAGGAAGCGGAGGGCAGTGAGGCACTTTGTGTTTAATGTATGCTTACAGGGATGTCCGAGGTGTGTGATTGTGTGCGTGTATCACCTACAATTACCAAGAGGCCAACGGCAACAGAAACATATGGCACGGAGCTACCAGCAGAATCAGTGCCTCCAGTCAGTTGTTGGCATTGGACAGGATGTTGCAGCTGTGACAACATCAACAACAATAACAACATTGGTAATTGCTATGCCAACTAAAACAGTGCTGAAAACGAGCGCAGTCTTCCAAGAACTGGGTCGGTGATTCTGAAAATTGCATTTCTATGAGGAGATAGTAATGGCCTCCAGTTGCATAGACCACTGAGTCATGGGAGAGAGGAGGGTATGTAAATTAAGTAGACTTCCTGATTTTCATCACGGTGAGGAGGTGGGTGACAATCATCTAGGGGATGAGATAGCACAGACAGGAGATTGTCATTTACCACGAGCTCAAGCCATTCGTCTCCTCCTCCTCCTCCTACTTCCAATCCATGTCGTCGTTGTGGTGCACCTCCAATTCATTTTTCAAGCTAACAAAATGCACAATTTCATCGCCATACCTCAAATTGCCAAATCTCTGGTGGGCTTTGGAGGGAAAACAAACGATGGCTATCTTCGTGTTGAGAAAGAGTCACAAAAAATCATCTCACCATATGTCGGTTTGGATCAGACATCAAGTAGGAAATGTCGCAAGAGGGAACGTCAGTCATGGTAATTGATGCCTTCAACCGCTTCCGGTGATGCTTCAGTAAGACCTCCCAAATAATGTATCAGTATATGTTTGGTTATTCGTGCAAGAGAAAATAAGGAGGCGATAATACCAGGAGTAAAAGGAGAGGATAAAAGAAAGCGCTGAGTCCAAACCAGGAACCATGTTTACCAAGGCGGCAAAGCTGGTGCAGAGACCGCATGCAAAGGGTAAAAGGAGTCTGCTCGGAGGTCCGAAAAGTAGAAGCCGATGTGGAAGGGCACGATCATCACAAGGCATTTCTTCATTTGCTTCTCTTTCTGATTGCCAAGCGCCGCATTGGCATGCATGCATGCTTATCCGGGCCTCGCAGATATACATATGTGACAATCCGGCTACCTTCGTTTTTTTCTGCTCTCTCTCTCTCTCTCTCTGTGAATCAATCGCACAAATACACAGGCACAGGCACAGGCACAAGCAGGCAGGCAAAAGTGTGCATTCTCGAGACCTCAAGACTCTCCAATGTGCTTTGAGGAGTAGGAGGAAAAAAAAGAAGAGGAGGTAAGCAATGGGCAGGCAAACTTACGACGCATTGGCGAGTCAGTATCTGGGAGTGATAGCAGAAGACAATAAGAAAGGAAAGCACTTTTTGCAAGCATGAAGAACCAGACAGAGACACGCAGAAAAAAGGAGAGACAAGTTGTTGAAGTAAAACGCAAAAAATCACGCGCACGCATCATGATGCACCAAATTGTGCAGTGGGAAAACACGTATATAGGAACATACACACTCAGACACACAGGGGCACGCACCGTAATCGCAGCCGCTGCCAGATATGAGATTCTCCTTGGACACACTCAATCGTCGCTGATTTTTTACATCCACAAAGAGCTGTGGACAATCGACGGTGTACTGGAAATGGCATAGCATTGGATTGTCCCATGCTATTATATTGTGCTCCTGTATCACTGAAAACAGGCGACAAAGGAGTTAAGTTTAACAGAAACCATATGGATAGCAGCCGGTGGTCTGCCTGTCTTGTATACAAAGTCTTCTGAAACTGATTTGCACTTTATAAGTGTGATTATGCGGTGGAAAAAGGGGGAAAAAACGAATAATTGGATATAACGTCAAGGGAGTTATGTATATGCCAAAATTAGTAGACACATGAAAAGGTTTGTTTGCACAGTGTCACGAGGGATAGGAGGGTGGCTAACACCATGGAGTCGTTGCTGCGGGACACGTGGTATAAGAAGCACCACCTTCATCATCACTAGCCTCTTTTGATGCAAAGGAGGCGTGGAGCCAAAGCTCGTGTATGCGCACGCACACACACACACAAACACGCGGCACGTGCACACCTGCAGGCAAGCAGGTAGGCACACACGCACCTCGCGCTCACAAGCAGGCGCACATGTGGGCATGAGGGGCTAGGCCACCTGACCTTCGGGGCTAGACGGATTTGCATGCTGTCGCCATCATCATGGATGGCGACTTGGTGTCAGCCATGATTTACGGTTTCCCTTTCTTTATTTTTATGGATTAGGGAAAAAACAGCCTCCAACCGTGTAGGATATATCGAAATCAAAAAAAAACAAACCAAAAAAATGACGACCCAAAAATCCAGCGTATTACTAAGTTACTACTATTGCTCAAAGTGGCATAAAATAAAGTAAAAATCCGACGGAATAAAAGCTGTCTATTCATAAATGGAAGCATTATCATCTTACTCCGATAAGTAGTCTAGAATGCGCCTCCGGATAACTTATGTAGTAATTACGTTAGTTCTCTTCGTATTACAATGAGACCTACCGGTCAAACTACGTAGATCCAGAACTTCTAATCCGTGAGTGTAATTTTTTGCATTGCGAGTCACGATTAGGGCTCCATCACCGACATTTTCCACGTGATATGGGACGCGTCCGCGAATAATCCGTAATGAAATGAGTGGAATCCGCTTCACTTCATTGTTGCCAATGTAAACATATCCTGAAACTTCTCGAATCGAATTCAGAAAGGAGAGATCGGGATCACTCCCATTTTCTAGAGAGGCAGCGCCATTAAGCGATGAATGTACATACCTAGTCGTCTTAAATTGCACAAAACGAGATTGCCTATAATATGCGTACATTGAGAATACTGTCTTTTATAATATGCAAGCAAGGTTTTATCATTCATCGAATGACGACAGTCAATATTCCTGCTTCGACATACTGAACGTCCATAAATAATTATAAAAAATGTCACTTTTTATGTCCCGGTATTCTGGCGCTAAGGACAGCTTAAATGCAAATGCGGCCCCTGAAATTAATTGGTAAAAAATGGGAGTACCGGAAAATGATAAAAGAATAAAAGTGTTAATCCAAATTTGGAGCATCTTAGATGAACCACATCACTAAGTCAGAAGACTTCATAACCGCACGTTTACTTCGACCCTGAAACGTGGTTAGGTTAAACAAACGGATATCAAAGCAAATCGAGTAATGCATTAGTCTCTAAAATGTAATTAAATCATTTTAGAATAGCATTATATATTGCAGGCAGCTCATTATTTAGGTGTATGATGTACCTTACCTTCAGATAAAATTATGGAAGCCTAGTTCCAAGCGCAAACGACGTTTTCGGACAGCTCAGAGTAAAAATTAACGCTACATCACGGTAATTGATAGTACCAATTTAAAATAACAAATTTTGGTTGACTAATTGGTTTTCGATCCCCATGGCTTTCCTGTCAGGCATACGATCTCTAATGCTTTATTGTCATCCGCGACACTTAGAGTTCCACTATAAAGATATGCATTACGTTCCCTAATACTGCTATCTGCTTCGATTCCAACAATCGCCTTAGTAATTCAGCCTCAGTTAAAGCACATAACCGTCAATTTTAGTTGGTTTATTTAATTTCTGCCTGTATATTCTAATTGCAAATTGTAGACCAACTATCATTATTGAAGCAAACTTGTTGTCCTATAGAACTCTTCATCACTTGGTGGCAATATTGATTTCTAGCCAACCGAGAAGATCGCCTAATCAAATTAGTCCTTGATTTGTGAGGTAGTGGGTAAAAGTAGTCATTTTCATCGATTTTCAGTTGATTCACCGCCTGAGAATTACAACGAAAATCAATGCCTATTAATAGGCGCACGTGCTGATCTTACCAGCGTGAGTCATCACCTTGAGGCGTCGTATAATGGGGCCGCAATTGCAGCGTGACGGACATTGGTATCACAGTCGCTTACGCATCTGCCCCACCTCTCGATCTCAACCTCAACTGACCTGCACATCTAGCGATGCTTACAACTGTAAACCCGCTCCTCCATCAGTACATGGAAAGTGCTCAATTTGCAGCGATTTGTAAGCCACGTTGATCTATTGCTTTTTGTCACTCTGTCATGCCATATGTAGATGGGCTGTAAATTATTTGATATTTGCTTTAAATAAGTAAAACTTTCAGCTTTTGAGAGGTCCACTTAATAATGTTGATTATTTATACCCCAGCCACCAGTCAAAAGCCCATATAGAGGATACGTAAATAACTTCACCTGTCGCTATGTTGTCTATGGCGCCTTAAGACCACCAAGATAGCCGAGGGATGGTAAAATAAAATCAATAAGATCTAGGTTTGTGGCGAAGGTGAACAGCGCTCACATCGATCTATCAGTATAAAAACGGGACCCTAGTCCACTTTTAGGGACGGTTCTGAATGTCTCTCTTGCAAGTGTTGTGTCACTGATGTGAGAGACATGGCAAGACAACAATGCATTAAAACAAAATTAAGTTAAGTAAACGACCCAGCATTTCCTCTTCTTGTATGCTCCAAGTCTGCCACAAAACTCGATTTGTTACGGCAAGAAGAATTAGCCTGGTAAAGTTAAGGTTAGAGCAAAATGCCATTAATGTGACATGGATTTTCTTTTTTACATGAGGTGATCTACATACAATCTGCCTCTAAACCTTAAATTTTTCAAAGCAATTAGCACACGGGTTTGCCTTGAACGCAGCCTAATGGGTGCTAATACTGTGAGACGACGCTGCACTCGGAAAATTCGACTAAATTTTTTTAATGAGTTTTGGTTTTTGAACAAGTGAGAACCATAGGGAGGTGCTTATTTGGATAGTCCTGCTTGTTAAGAACGAATTCGCCCACCAAAATAATTCTTCGCGCCTTCCAGTTTGGATTATGTAGACCTAGTTCAAGAGACCCTACCTCCTGTGCCACTCAAAATTGTTGCTTTTTCCTTATTTTCAGAATTCTGGATCGGCCCATATTCTTAAGAACAGACGATAGCGTTTAATAATCGGTTAAGATAAGACTATTGAAAGTAATAAAGGAAACGATTCCAATGGAACATCCATTTTAATCATCAGAGGCTAGTGATGGGACTATAGAAGTTCCTTTCCTTGAATGTGATAGGCCGCCTTTAGTGACGTACATCAGCTGCTGAAAAGTTAATAGATATGGCAAAATTCCAGAGAAAGTAAAACGATTCGCAATTTAAGCAAGGTGATCGGCGGAGCTTAAAATTCAACCAAAAAAACTAAGCTCCAGTAGGGACACCTAATTTGTATTTTTGGTATGGGAGGACGCCAAAACATTTATTTGAAGGAGCAGTTGAAAATTGTGGATGAGGTAACACTGTTCCCTTCACATTCTTTTCAAGTATCTCATGAAGTTTCTCAAAGACAATTTATTCAGTGAAATGGGAAATGGCGTCACGCCATGGCATACTATTCGTACCTCTTGAGTGATTAACCAGGCCGTATGCTAATTAGAAGTTTTGATTGTTTGGTTCCCGAAATTCTACCCTCAAATTTCACACGATGAGCTAAGAATCAAACATTGTCGCACTTTTGTGCACCCGTTTAAGAGGAGGACAACGATGGGTTGCCTTTAGATCTTCCTATCTATTACCCGTTGATGCACTTATTTCAGTATTATTATGTCTAGAATACTTCTGTTGTGAACTTAGAGTAAGTGCAACATTAGTGGAGGGACAATCATGCGTATCGTGTCAACAGGCTAACAGCCTTGCTTCAACTGGAACGTGATCTGATAAGTAATGCCGGTGAAGTTAGACTCAAAAAAGGATAACGTTTGTGAGTTTATTAATCAGGCATATTTTCCATGGACCTAGCAATTAGTGGTAAGAAAACGGTTAGATAAAGTAATAAATTGATTTTGATGAATTTGACACACTTGGTGGCCACAGTTGCAGCCCATTCCTCTGTCACGAATGCAAAGTGGATCTGGCCAACTTTGATGCAAATTGATAGAATCGCATAGCGCACCAAAATTCGAATGGTATGCTATGAAGTAGTCACCTGAGTTACGTCGTCTCAAAGTTTAAAAGTGATCCCATTGATGTTAGCATTCAATTGGTGGATTTTAAGGTCACGATGGGAAATGCTCAGAGCGCAACAATCAAAAAAAATTCCACATCATACTTAGGCATGTGGGATTCGTATAACATTTACACTAAAACTGAGGATTCAAAATATGCAAGACAGATTGATAAATTGGGGTATTTCCTATAGAGGCTAAATGAAGACAAATATGAAGAAATAAGAGTTGATAAAAAAGATCGGGTCACAATGTGCAAGGCTGGGTTTATACCCGCCAAAAGCGAAATGCACATGGCATTACTCCCTCAACTGATCAGATGGCTTAGTCATCGTGCAAAGTGGGGTAGAGAGATCGATAATACCCGGGGTGCATGTAAGGTATGAGTAAAGCTCAATTCACGCCCGGGCCGGGGAGGCACAGTGAGACGGGGGATGGTGCAGCATGCGATGGTCGATTGATCGATAGGATTTGCTTCGGCACTCGCGCTACGCATTGTCGCCTGGGCGGTCGCACCAACCATAGCTCCTCACTTTGTGTCTCAAGGCCTGATGCATAGGGCGTTCCCTTGGTGGCTTTGCAGCGAACCTGACCTTTGACGGCAATTACTAGCAAACGGACCGCATTCCTTTATCGTATCTGTTGCCTTGATCGGTGTGAGCTTTGGTCTCATTCGCCTATTTATTTTTGCCCCATAATTCCTCTTGCCGTGGTTATTTACAATGCCGAAGAAGAGTGGTAAGTTAGTCCAATTTTATGCATGATCAGATTTTAATTATTTAACTGGATAGCACTCTGTTATCTATTACACTGGACTCAAACCTCCTAATTGTTAGTCAGTTTGATTTATCAAAAAGCGCATTTCTTTCAAGAAGGCGTTAAAATTTGATTTAGGAAATGTCTACAATTTCACTTCTGCTGGCAACCAGTACTGAAAACGTAGACATTTGAGATTACAACTTTCCTTTACAAATCCATCTAAAAGCATTCTTCTAACTCTGTGAATTCTTATGCATGGATCTGCCTTTGTTCACTGTTGACAGTGGCTAAAGTACGACTTATGCTTGAAATGAATTACTCTACTCACTGCATGATTTGTCCCCATGAGAATAGCTTTTCGAGGCAATGGCAAAAGAGGGACCTGCCATTCCATGCATAAACGATTATTAATCTTGTTTAAGACAAGAATTTGCTTGTAACGATGCAAAGGGTTCGGTTAAGGACAGAAGGCTGCATAGTGAAGAAAGCGGCTCTCTCTAGGGCTTTTAAGGCGTGGCAATTGCAGTCACCTTAAACTTCGGATTGAAGCAATCTCATATCCATTGGTTATCATTCGGTTTCAGTAACTTGGCATTGTTAGAGTGACGGCCGTTGAGTGGCATTTACTTGCCGTAACGACACGGTATTCGCGACAGGCTATCTCATCTTGTTGTTACGAAAATGGGTTTATCAAACCATCCACCTTGATGCTCCCCTTTGAATATTTTAATTTTATATTAAAAAGGACTCCAATGCTAAATTCGCACAAGAGTTTAAACTCATCTTTAAGACTGGAAAACCCCTTTGGATGATTGATGATAAATGGGGCCGTAGGCGGCGTACAGTCATGCTGTGGGGGATGAGTGACATGGTCTGGAGCCCACACCGTCCGATGGCTATGCATAGTTTTGATGCCTTAAAAATCTCCAAGGCTGGACTCAAAAATACTATAATACGTTTCTGCAATGTCCTAGGTTTAAAGAATCGCACAAGTTTAATGAGAAACTGTTAACTGCCAGTAAAAGGTGCTGTTCCAAGACCTTACGAAAATACCCCTTTTTAAATCTTCTTTCCTGCTTTTAGCAAAATGTCATGACGAAGGTGACAAATACCTTCGAATTTCACGATTCAGCGGGAAGAAGGTGAGTTTGTCAATCGTTTTTTGCATTTGAAAATGTCCTTTATAAAGTGAAGGAGAAATCGGCCTACCAATTAGTTTTGTTGGGACTGCGAATAAACCTTCTTTGTGTCTGCGTAATAGAGTTCGCGCTGTTGATTCCCTCTTTACGTTTGTCTGTCCCTTTTGGAAACTTTTACCGCCTCTAGGGTCTACCACAATGTGAACCGGGTTGAGCTTTTTAAAGTGAAAATCTGACGAATTCCGTAGTATGACGTTTCACTCTATAAAAGCATGATTTATTGTTGGTTAAAAAGAAAGCCAAGAAGCTAAAACACCGAAGGTGGAAGTGCATTTACAGTTGCATAAAAGTGAACCTGCTACGCAACATTTAAGATTTGTTGGATGATATGCCAAATCCCTTTCCTTGAAACTGTTTCTAACCATCAGCATTTGGTTACTGGATAAATTCGCCCTTCTGTCGACCATGCGGATAAAATATGATGTGTCAACTCCACTATTTTGCGTTCTAAAGTTAGCTCCTCTTGCTTAGATATTTTGATGTGGAGCTTCTTAGGCTCGACATTTTTTTGGCGAGAAAAATTCAATGTCCTTTTGACTTCACTTATTCCCATAATTGTCGAATTAGTTCAATCCCGGTCGTCTGCAAAAGGCCGTTTTTGTGCTGCCTTCCCTCATTGTGGGAGGTCAGGCTAAGTGGCGCGGTTGCCCGTTGCTCAGTTGCATTCATGCGAGGCATTTTGGCAATGATCAAGGAAAGGAGGCCAAATTTCCTCTTTAGTACTCAGGAGTTCATGCATCCTGTTATTAATTTTTAGTAGCCCAAGCCTTCCCTACAGCTCCATTACTGCGCTCCAGTTTCAAGAGCTCAGTTTAAAAGCATTAAGGGGCAATAATAAAAGTGACGGTTTACAGCATTGCGAAACGATGTTAATAACCTTGAGAAATAAATAAATTGTGAAGTTAAGTGTCCTGTTAGACAGTTGGCAAGGCTCTCTCCATAAATTTCCAATTAATCAGAACTTAGCGATAGAGTAGCTTTTTCAGTAAAGCAAAATGCGAGATTCCGTGATGATTTGGTTCGCATCTAAGCATAGTTGGTTTGTGATGTGACATTAATGCCAATAAGCTGAAAGAGCATTTATTTGCTTGCTTACCAAGTCGACCAAGCGTTCATTTAATCTTTTTCAAAATTTCCTTTGTTCGCTTCCATTTTAAGTAGCTGTTAAGGGGTCCATGGAATTCAGGATTGTTCTCCTTTCAATCACTTGTTTACGTTTAGGTTACAAACGAGGCAGCCGAGCCGGGGCTGACAGCAGAGGCAGTGCCTACAGGTGCAATGGGGTCAATGGTTGAGGATCGGGTGACAATGAAGTTGGATGTGGCACACACCGAGCACAGCCATCTGATAGGCAAAGGTGGGCATTGTGTCAAGGCAATGATGCTGGAGACACAGTGTCACATTCACTTTCCTGACTCAAACCGTGTTCCCAACGTGGTGGAAAAGAGTAATCAGGTCTCTATCTCCGGTCAACTTGCAGATGTGGAGCGGGCCAGAAGGCGTATTCGGGTGGGTCGGTCAAATGCTATTTTCCATCACCTTATTCAGTTATTGTAATTTTTAATGGTTCGTTTTTTTAAAGAATGTGGAAATTCGATTTTAACTTACTAACGTACTTAAACCAGATAGACCTTGCTGTTTTGATAGCTAAGAAGGTTAAAAGTGTACCTTCTCTTTAGCGGAAAGAATACTAGTTTGGAAACATTTTTGCAGTGCATCATTTGGGCAAAACTCTAGAGGATGAGCTGCATTAAGCGACTTGTTTTACACCATCTTTTTTGCTAGCCATACAACGCCATCGTGCATATTTTGAAGTGAACTTAAAAGGCTGTAAAAGGTCGTACGAATGTAAAGAGAGATGCTGAAGAGCCAGGCTGGTAGGCAATCAAATGCAACTTTGCTGTAGAACATTTGAAGTTACCACAAATTTGAGCCAATGGTTCCCATATTTTGTAACCTTTATACTAAGCAATGAATCGGATATAAAGGAGGATACGTATTGCAGCAAGTATCTTTAAACCCACGCAAGCAGCCTTGCCTTAACCGTAGCAGCTTCGCCCTTCTTTTTGGAAGAAATCTTAATTCATCCAAATGCCGTCTCTAACTGATGTGCAAAAATGACTAGCACATGATGAAGTTCTGTCATATCAAGCCATTAGTCACTGTTAATGCAGGTCGTTTGGATTCACTCAGAATTTTGGTGCGATTATGGCGCACTTTCCCAAAATAAGATGAAGTGAGTTATGTCGTGTTTTGGAGGTGCAACAGCAGTATCTTCAATCCTAAAGTTTAGCGCGATAAGTCTCTAACCGCTTCCTTTTCAATGCACACGTTACTTATTTGGTCAATAGTAGGTTTAGAATTTAGCTCGCAAAGCAATCCTTGCTTCCTTTTGTTTCCCAATCGTCGTTTAGGGACGATCAAACTCTTCCGTTTTCGGAGCCACCAGTGCAGGAGTAAGCGTAAAGGATGCTAGCTGCATAGACATGATTTCACCTCCTGGATTTGTTTTGACGTTCGACCTATTTGTAAGTAGAGCAAAGTAGGATTAACTTAATGACTGAGCACACGGGCCGACAGGGACAGGGTTTGGTTCCACCACAGCTGTCGAAAAATACTGTTCACCTTTTGAGGTGGCTTGATATTTTGCTGTCACGAGAAAGAAAGGCCTTCCAGAGTGGTAATAGAATATCTTTACACATCTACATTTAAATAACTTTTGAAAGATTAAGAAAAGTGTTTTGCCGTCAGCTGTGAGAGATCGCAAATTACTTTTATGTCCTTTTAAATTGTCTCTAACATCCTTGCTTTTCACACTAAGCCCAAATAATTTAATGCTTTTTGTTTTTATTTTGTGCTTAGCATTGGTTGCGGTGGTGCCAATTTTTATCAGATAGTCGTCCCCAATATTTTAACGCCCGCCTTGCTCATGAAGCATAAGTGGCGTGATTTTGTACAAGTCACAAGAAATTATAACTGTTGTTTATTACTGGTGTCGGGCTTGCATCCGAGCAGCAGGACTTTGGCAGTAGCAGAGCTCTTGTGATGCTAAATTTGAACCGCCAAAATCCTTAAGTTTCATTTCACAGTAACTGTATGTGAACACGTGTCGCACTGGTATGACAGTGCTTAAACTCAAAGACAGTTATGATTGGCAATCTTCCAAACCTGTTAAAAAGAGCAAAATAAGGTTTCGAGGCTTTTGAACCCTTAATTGGTTACTGCAAGGGATCGACTTAGAGTCTACAATCACCTTTGGAAGAATTAACTTTGATCCACCCCTTAAACAATCCACTAATATTTGAGAAGCGAATGACGGCTGACAACCAAATACTCACTCCATTATGTATGAAGCGGTGCAACTATGAATGCAGGCTTCTACAAGTATGGTCAACTGACTTCCTTACCTGGATAGACTTAAGACTTTCTACTCTCTTATCGTGGGATAAGATCCAAGCTTTATAGACCGTCAGGAGCAAGTAAATTTTAATTGTGACCTGCACAGCTAACGCTTCCACCTCTGGTGCTATTCATTATCATGCAGGGTAGTCTGAAAAACAACGAGGGTGCTACAACGTAGAAAACGAGCCAGCTTTACAAATCTCTGGAACAATATTCTAGGAGGATGTTGGGAATGAGAGGTTAACACAGTTCCCTTTTCCTTCTATTCCATCTTTTAGCAAATGCTTCCTCTGTCTTACCTTTTTACCATCCAAAACTCGTCCCCACATGCGCTGACCCTGTATCGCACCTCCTGCATGGTACAACATATCGAAGCCAAGTTCTCTGTCGAGGTGACCTACCGTCACTATTTCGCCTTTCCTCTGGCCGACTTAACTTTTCGTCATCATCCTCACGCCAAGTACCTCGCTTCGGCCACAACCATTGTTGTCAGCGTACGCGGGCTCGCACACTTCGCCCACAATGTAATTGAGGCTACCAAGGCCCTGCTTGAACACCACTTTGGAAGGATGGCTGTGAGTTTTTTGAGTTAACCTCTACCGTATAAAATGCTGCTTAGACAGATTTGAGTTCACTAGCACCTTTTCTTGGGGCGATGGGGAGTTTAAAGTCGGAAGGAAAGGCAATGGTTGCTGGTGGGAACTAAGGCCAATAGGATACCTAACTTGTAAGCAAGGTGACTATGACTGAGCGATAAAAGCACCCTATGGAAATTATATTAATGCCTGGTCATTCCAATATCCTCTAAGTTAGAGCATATTTTAATTTCTGTCTTGTATCGAAAAGGAGCTAGACGAAACACTAGTCCATAAATTTGAGATTACGGGGCTACTTAAGCTATAGGCTCTTTTAGAGTTGTAAATGCGTTTACTCAATCGTATTTTTGCTTTTGAGAGGGGAACCTTAGGATAATGTGAACAAGATACTTGTAAAAACATCTCTAACTTACGTTAGCAATGCTGCCAAGTTCCTCGATTGAAAACATAAACAAGTAAAGGGATTAGAACAATAAGCAAGTTTAGGAAATCCTAAATGTGTACTCTTTAGTTGATTAGCATATGCATACTAGTTTTCGTAATTTTCCTTACACTTCCCTTTTCGACCCAGATGAGACTAAATAGGGGTCCGATTGCACAACCAAAGCTAAGTAGCGCATTAGCCTAGTAGGAATAGTAGCCTTAACTAGTAATGCTTACAACCTTGTATTATTCTCAACCAAATTTCAGACAGAAGTAGATGGTGGATTACAAATGTCCACCGGCATTATCCGCGAAACATTTTTGGCACGGTATTGTGATAGACATTTGAGGCATCTCCCTGAGAATAATGGAGAGCCAGAAACACACTATTTTATTTACAACCACCTCTCAGTTTGAGCCTTATAAAGGAAAGCAAACAAAGTTTCATAATTACTTCCATGGGTTTAAAATATGGGAACCATTGCTTATTAATGATGTTTTGAGACGTATATGCGGTGCTAAAAACTGCAGTATTTTAGGGCTCTACGTTGCCTGATGTTTCCTCCAGTACCAGTGCACAAGGCAGTTGTGAAGACCTTGCCTTCCCAATGAATGCGCATGTGAAGTCTAGACGATTTTTGTGGGGTATGACTAATAGCTAATCAGATGCGTAAATCCCAAGCTGATAGGAGGCTTAGGCTTGTAACTCCTTCCCATTCTGGACAAAGGGCGGAGTTTTGGGTCCTTTAGATTATGTTCAGTGCTTATCCTAGTGTATACATGTCTAAATCCTTTCAGTACAAAGTGCCTAAATTCGACTTGGGGAAAAAAGTAATCGACAACACTTTGGGGAATGCCATCTCGATTGACTAGCATGGGAACACTTGTTTCTTCAAATGGCTGCAAATGAGTGAGGCTCATTAGTCATTATAAAAAGGTTGCATCGAAGGCCATAGAGATTTTGTTCCAAATAATTTGGTGATCAGTTAGTGCATATTCTTGACTTCCTTTTTCTTCAAAGTATCCTAGCCTCAAAGCACAAATAGAGGCTCTTAGAGAATTTGGTCGCCTTCAGATCTGCCTTCATTCTTTGTTTCCAAAAGTATGTAGGGGTGGAAGCAACCATTTGCTGAGGTGTGGTCCTAAATCCCTTTATCATAAGTTTGGGACCCTTTTGGGAAGTAATTTATATTCCAAAATGGTACAGTAACACATCAACGGACTAAGTGTTAGATGACATGTGATTACGGTCAACTAATGCACAGCAGGGTCGTTTCCGACGAGGTCTTCCATCGCATTCACTTTTTATTCATGATTTCCCTTTGAACCACCTTACTCCTTCAATCTAACCTCCGGCTGCATTAGACAAGTACACTTTACGCCTCATCACTCACAAAATAAAGTTTTTTTTACTCAGAATAATATTGACTATCTAAGTGCATAGAAAGTGTTTATATAATAGAGGAATGAAATTCTTTACGTCCATTACAAAGCGATAAGCATTTAATGCCTTGATTAATTGTTTCGGATGTCATGCGTACCGACCTACTACAATTGTTACATTTTATGTTGCTCTACTGATCTGCCATCAAGGCAGAAATAAAGCTACCAATTTCAACTGTACTATTCATTTTCCTTTGTCGGCTGCTCCCAATTAAAAACCGCATCATTTACCCACTAAGATCTGTAAAGGACAGGCCTAAAAGTGATGTGTTGGCAGGTTCTACCAATATGAAAATGCTCACCCTTCACTCCACCGTAAAGTGATGCTAAAAATGTTTTAAGAACTTAAGTAGTCTTTTGCACAAATTATCGGATTGCAATGCGTCGTTGGGCTAAACCCCAAACTTAACAAACTGACAGCTGATAGAGCATAGTCAATGCCCATTGGATATCTAATCAAAATATCTTGGTAAAGTGTCTTTTGTTCAAATTTTGACAACCGAATACTGCTAGCTGGGTGGGAAGCCTACTTTTGTGGCGTCCTGTGCTATTGCGTGCCTGAGATCATGCAAAATCGCTCAAAGACTGCTATAAGTATGAGCGTCTCTATTCACCACTTTTAATCTTGTTCTTGGAATTTGAGACCCTTAGGAAAGAAGGCAGATGGAATTTATTACCAGAAAATGGCCTGAATTATCGGCTCATGTATCTCAGTTATGCCTTAGGGTGGTGGTATGCACAAATAAGGGAGACATCGAAAGGCTTTAACAGAGTTAGTTGTTGTTGAGAGGACAAAGGATGAAGACTAGCGAACGGATATTCGTCATACTTGTAAACGTTAGTATAAACAAAACGGAAACTCATTTTGTAATACGTTTTATAGCGGTTAATCTTGTAAGCTACTGTAATACCTTGTTTATGTAATCATCTAAAGTTTAGCGATTAATTTGGTATCCGTTGGTTGGCCTTCGGGCCAAGTCAAGACTCTATCCCTTCTGCCCCCAGAATACATTGTCTTCTCAAAGTGACGCCTTCTTCCACTTGGTGGGAAGTCTTGGCGCGCCACAGCTACTACTGATGGCAAAATTAAGCATTAGGTATGGCGATTCAATCTTTGGCAAGGGTGTAATTTGATAATATAGTCGATTATGTGCATGTTTTGACAATTGATCATCCGGCATTGGCAGAATATCAAGCGCAATTTAATTGGCATTATCAAGATGATCGCATTTCCCTGGAAAGTCATGTTTTGGTAAACAAAAACTAACCTGTTTTGCTTGCGCATTTATTTTCCCTCCGCATAAGCCGTCAAAACCGCTGATTGTTTATAAAAGAGAATTGGTTTTTTTGAGACCAAATATAGTAATCTTATACCTCTGGTAGTAAAGCGGGGGAGGATGCGAAATCTTAGCTGCGTTTAGGTTTAGAGATACATCCTGAATATACGCCCTACTAGGCTCTATATATATATCTATAGGTTGGGCCTCCGTGACATTTGCATGATTTGGTGAGCAAAATTGGCCGGGGCACCGGAAAAAGCATAACAGTTGCAATCATGAATTCCTTCTAGAGGCCTCTTACACAGGCTATGTAAGGAAAGGGGCTGGCATATCTATAGTTGGCTTGAGCGACTGTACTTTTCGCTTTTAGCTTGCAATTTTTGGAAACTGGCCTTGTCAAAACCTAGGCGGGGCGCAGATTTGCCCTTTAAAGATTCTAGTAAACATAAATAGTTGCATTCGTTAATCCCCTAGAACTTTTGTACAGTTGGACTCAGGATGCGTCGACTGAGAGTCCACAATCAATCACATTCGCATTTAATTTTTAATGAGTGTTGGAAATGGAATCACCATGGTGTGAGCAATCATGGCCCACCAATATGAGTATCTGCAGTCTGTCACCTAAAAATGGTCTATGAAACTAGGTAGTCGTATTTTTTGGTTGTGCATGATGTAAATCTGCCGATATCTTCTAACTTTGTTAGTCGCACTTTGAAACTATGATCGGTTCCCTTCTTAGGAGCAAACAAACGTATGGATGACCTTGGACGTTGAGCCCAAACACCAAATCATCATGCAGCACCACATAGCTCAACGCAGTTTGGCTGAGGTAATCCACGAGTCAACTGGAGCTCGAGTTTGGTTTCCACAGGAGACTTCTTTTCCTATCGCTGCCACTTCTGCCATCACCACTCTCTCACCCTGTCCCAGCCCCCTTTCGATCTCCCCACGTCGAAGTGGATTCTATGCGCCACGACTGTGTCCTACTCCAAGTTTGCCTGTCTCCTCCGTTAGCCTCTTCCAACGTCCTGAAGCTCGCACGATGATCACTATCTTTGGAAGTGTTAATGGTTGCTTTGTGGCCCGACAGACGCTTATGGTATGGCACGGTTATTTTTGCGCATAATTTGTCAGTGTATAGCACGAGTCAGTACGTTGGGAACCTCGATTTCAAACAGGACCAATAGCGTGTAACTTTTGCAGCGTCCGAATTTCGATTTCAATTTTTATTAAGTTTAACACTTATCTTAACCCTCTGCTGAACATGACTCACCGGGATTTATTAAGACACCCTTTGATTTCCGAAACGGCATATGTTTGGCGTATGCTAGCCTTTGGCATTAGTGTTGCTGGCATCAGTTGAAGTCAGAAATTGATTTGATGCATCGTCGACACCTTCAAACCCTATTTATGTGTGCGTTTGTCCTAGACCTCGCCAAATTTTAATCTCTAACAGCTGTAAGATTAGCCGCGAGTGCAACCTAAAATTGGCATCTGACACGCCTAGACAGAAGCAAATGGATACGCCCACGTTAGAGATAACGGAGTTCCACCCACTAATACATGCAGAGCATTTTATTTATTAAATGGTCGTTGACGTGATTTTCTTTTTTTCTTAAAAAACATCGTTCTTGTACGTACCGTTTGCGCAAGCTTCTTTGCAACAATTGCATTGGTACTCCTGAGCATTGGACAAATCTGTTAATGAAATTGCTTATTTTGCAAAAAGAACGCCTGAAATGCGTTAGTTATGCATGTGAAGCGTGAGTAATTCTGACTTGCGTTTGATCAGCGATAGTTATTCACTTGACAAGCTGAAAATAAAGGGTGTTTTCAATATATCTTTGAGTTTATGATGAAACCCGCCCATACGTTAATGGAACACGATTAAATTAAACTCGACATGAATCGCCCATGCTCACGGAAATTCAGCCATATCAGATTGATAAGAGTAAATAATTACAATTTCGGGATTAACTCTTAAAGGAGTTGGAGGCGATATTCTATCTCTTCTGGTAATCTTCAGAAATAATACGGAATTATGAGCCTATAAACTTCAACAGACTGCCATCTAATGCAAACATCTCTTTAAAGTTCAAGAATTGTTAGTTGTTAGCATGGGGGATTTTGCGTTCAATTCAATTCCCACTTTAGCCATGCTGTTCAAATATGTGAGAATGCAATTTACTCCTAGTTCGCAAAATCTCGTCGTACTATTCGTTGATTCACTTCACTAATTCCAACTGCTGCTTCGTGACTTAATGACTTTGAACGTTCCTGTTTGCAAACTAGAGGAGAATCTAGGCTTGCTTTTCCTTCGTCTTGTAGACTCTGCTTCCGGTGACTTTGATTGCAGAAATAACCGGCGAGGAGGCTTTGATCCTTTCGCGCATCGACTACAATGCTTACAAGTCCTTGAATGACGTCAGTGTCACATTTCGGGCCAAGCCTAGACACTCATTTCGTGTAAGGTTAAATTTAGGCGACCTTGAAAGAATACGTAATTCCTAAATAATAAAGCCCACAATGGCTTTCCACCTCACGTTGGATATTTGATCTAATTTTTTTTAGATAATACACCTGCGTTACTTGCTTGCTTCTTTCCCCTTTAGCAATCGTTGGTTCTGAAGACGTACGAAGCCAACGTTAATTCTCTCTACTCTGTCCTCTCCAACTTAAAAATGGTCATGCGTTCACGAGGTAGGTCTAACTTATCCTTCCGGCTTTGTCTAAAAGATCAAAGATTCCTGAGCATCTCTTTCAACATCCGACGAAGTATACGAGACTGGGCATCATGTTATTAGGTTAGAAATACGGCAACCACTTTTGGTCAATTACAATTTCCTACAATCAAACAACGCTTTCGAAAGATTTCGCATTAATTTTTTTAATGCAACCTTCAACGTTGCATTTTTGGCCTGGTTCTGACTGTCAGACGGAGTCAAAACAGCAGTACTTGAAATTAAGACAAAAAAATTTACACCGTCTATCTGATTTTTATCTTTCTCATTGCCCATTTAGTGGAAAAGAATTCCCCTAATTATTGTGACGGACAAGCTGTACGATTTACCAGTAAACCTTTTAACATGAGCGAAGACGACAAGAAGGTTAGGGAAAGCGATCCAACAAAAGACCTTTCAGCAGGCACATCAAGCAATCGAAAAGTGATTGAACATATTTGAGTTGCATTTTGTTTCCTTGTGTGCACACCTGCATTTGGCCAACTTGACAACTGACAAGGTGGAAAACACGTGAAAACAGACCTCGTCACCCGTGTAACTACTTCTAGGACACACGCTAACTCGTCTAGTGTCATGTTTTCTCGCTTGCTTTTTTTCTTGCAGTAAAGCTACTGTTCACCATATCGTGGTGGGAAAAGGTAATTCTCTGGCCTCTCTGCGTGGCTTTGTTTGCTGGGCAAAATGCACCGGCCTGCAAGAAGTGTAGCTGGTTTTTTCCCATTTTATAGCTGAAATAACAAATAAAAGCCAAGTCTTTTGTAAGGATGGCGTTGGTGACGGTAGCCTGATTTAAGTTGAGGGTATTGGGCTTCAAGGGTCTGCAATGCTGCGTGGCTGGATGGACGTAAAGCCGGATTTTTTGTGGTATAAAGTCTCTGAAGCCTACTGCTACTCGAAAACCCGTCAATAGTGCATCTCAATACTAGTTAAAAGCAGAACGATTAAAGACCCTTGCCTTAAGTCTACGTGGTTCATATCTTGGTGACTTGCTAAAGCAGTGTAAATTTTTATAACGATTATGAAGATAATATGAGATTTTAGGCTTTGGAGGAGGAGTGCGGTCGATAATAGCTTCACAAAGTAAAGACAATTAGTCAGGAAGGCAATCACCTCTCACACTGTCTTTCATACTCGTCTAAGTTTTCACACTATATTTCCCTATTTTTGAGGGTAATTTACTCGTTTACAAGTATTGGAAGGCATAAACATATCAATCCCCCTTCAATAAATTGGCTGTCTAAACTCCAGGGCTGACACACGTGACCAATTGCCTTACCATGACAACTGGTCTCCATACAAACAGTTGATGCATAGCGCCTCTCGTTAGTGCCACATAAAAGCAGTCCCTCTTCACTGTGTCCCCTCTAGTCATGCGCTGTCAAGCATAATGGCTTCAGTGATGATCACCGACGTGGAGTCCAGTGCCTTTAGCCAAATAACTTGAGTTAACGAGCTTTTGATCTAAGTGCAGTTTCATTAAGGAGTCATGGTGTCTCTCACTGATACCTCTTTACAAAATGCAGAAGAACGTTTTGTTACTTGACGTTTCAACAGTTAATTATAAACAATGTTCATAAAATTTGCTAAAATCATGTACACGGTTCTATATTGCTAGAATTTTCAAAACCAAAAGCTCTGCATTCTTTTGTGGCTTTTCATTTTGTTGGGCGATCACCGTCAAAAACGTGTCAAACGCATTATTACGGGATTTTTTAATGGAGGTGAGTGTAGTCCAGTGACAATGAGGCGGTCATTGCTGTTAAATCATTTGCTTAAGAGTAGAAAGCTCGTTTTTCAAGGTATTGTGATAGTGGTCCCTTAAAATCGGTGTTTTACGGAATACGATCATTTAGTGATTATACAATGTGAGAGAATAGTGGTGTTTTTGAGCAATCTCAACATTAAATTCAGGTTCTCTATAATTCAGAGTTAAAAAAAGAAGAGGTAGTGATTATGCACATTTAAAATGTGTGCCTAGTAGACATACTTGAAGGGACGGAGCAAAGTCATGCCCTATAGTTAACTGAGAAAGTGACAGAATGCCGAATGGGAAGGGCTGTCATTTCACCGGCTGGCATCTTCCTCCTAGTGCAAGCAGAATACAAGGTGGAAAATAGGTGCCTACCCTTGATTGAAGAAATTCAAAATGGTGTGACCACTTTACCACCGTTGGAGGCGTTTATGCCTCCAACCTCGAAGGAGCAGGAGGTAGAGACTGAGCTGGAGAAGGTGGCTTCTTTACGAAGGCAGAGGTCGCGGTATCCTTTTCTGAGCCAATCCTTCGCCATCTGGTCAGGTGAAAGCAGAAGTCCATCACCAAATTTATCAACTTTACAACCGCATATTTCTTTGGAAAGTGGAGGTATGACTTTTTTAGTGAGCCTAGTCTGACCTATCGTCGACTTACTCATATGAACTTTTGATTTTAAAATGAAAGACGCTATAAGTTCAGCTCATAAAACACAGTTTAGAACTTTTTTGATTGAACGAACTTTCGCCCATTTTGGCCATCACCACTACTATTTTGGTCCATAGAAGCCTACTATTACACTCAAACAGTTTTGCTCCCATCCTACTTCCTTGCGCCTGCTTGAATGATTGCGTAATCTCAAATAACATTGAATAAATGTAGGGACAGGAAGATATGCGGGTGAACGACAGGATTTTGCCTTTAATCCATTGTCTGCTTTTGAATATTGGGCATTTTTAATGTAGTTTTAATTCCGTGCCTCGGACTTTCTGAAATCCTATGGTACGTGGAGTGGACAGGACTAGGGTGTAAGCATGGGATTCGAGGCGGCAACTCAGAAGTAAACCAAGCGTAGTGTAATCTGAGCACTGAGTAATCTGCTTCGAAGGAAGGCATTAAGCTTACTTAGCGTTTTGCGTCAACCAGAAACTCTAAAATCCAAATCTAATGGCGTTACTTCACAGGATGTGCTAGCAACAAAACAGAAATAGTCAAATGGTTAAACGTAATGTGTCTCAGATTGTATGCTTAAATAATTGCTTAAATCCATACATTGGGAACGGCTGAAAGTTGTTCTTCACTAGATCATGACTTCTGCCCCTTAGTTCATTCCTCTGAACAATCAAAATTCCAGTCAACCTCTCAGTTGGCACGTTCTGCATTGTGAGAGGTACTTAGGCACGGTGTCCAGTGCTGTCAGAATCGAACCACGTTGCTTTTATGTGGCATTCACTAAGACGCTCTGCGCAGGAGGATTGACAGCGAGAGCAAAATGAAACCTAGTGACTGAAACACGTGCACTTTTTTGAGTACCAACACGAGGGCAAATATAGCATCTTTTACTGCCTACTCATAATTTATCAGGAAATTGTAGTGCACTTTGTCACTAACGCTATTGACATTGAGCATTCAAGGTGATGGGTAGTTTGCTTCTAAAGTAATTTCACCAAGCTGGACAATCCCATTGTGCGAGTTGAGTTTTGACTTTTACGGCTTTACGAGTTGATAGCCTCAAGCGTGTTTGAAAGCTGATGGCCTTCTGCTAACAAAACATTCTTTTTAGGTTTAAAATCCAAAGGAGGCGGTGAAACGGGCCTTTTAAGTGACATTTTTGAACACTTTTCCCTATTCCCAAAGGGCTCTGATCCTGCTACAGCGAATTGCGAAGCCCTTTTCAATGATTCGGTGATTTCTGAAAATTGTGAACCCAAGGGATTGCTGAAGTGCGGCCAAAGTGGAAGTGTTCCCATGTAATTCTATGCTAAAATGCTTTTATGATTCTATTTCAAACCACTTGCAATATGTAAAACCGCTCTTAGGAATGAATAATTTTAAGGTTAGTTTGATTGGCTTAGAGTAGAACGAATTGCATGATTGATTTGCGTGCATTAGGTGGTCTGATGGCTACGTGACAGCATCGCCATTTGCATGTTGGAGATTAAGTTTCGAAGGAAAACTTATAAATGCTATACGTGTTTTTAGTCGAAAAATCGTGCATTACTTCACATCGGGGGAAATTTTACTTTTCATTGTGCACACTTGCGGCTCAGGCTTGGTCTTGAGTGAGGCGTTCTTGTGTGCTTTCCTCCCTTCGGCCGCACTTGTCACTTCAGTCGAAGACAGGTTTCGATAATCTTTTCTGTATTTTCGCCTGTCCTATTCTATTTTTTAGCTGTTGCTTAGGTACGCTAAAATGGACTTTCGATGAGTACAACAATTGCAGCTTAACAGGAGAGAAAATTGTTTCCCCTTGCTCACTTTAAGTACTTTTATTAAAATTAATCAGTCTAAAGTAGCTTGAGCAATCGTTGTTTCATTTGCACTCCGTTTTCATTAGCACTTTTTTTGCAATCATATATTGACATAAAATGCTATTTGATAATCAGAGAGAATTCACTTAAGACGTAAATATGATTATTGCATAGACTATTGCGAAAATGTTTTTGAGCATGCTAAATGCTTATTTACCGACGCGAAGACGACTTGGCGATGTGCCAAATAAACGCAAACTATATCAAAATGCTCACCTTATTGGGTTTGACTTTGTATTTTTTATTTTGGGCATTTTTGCATCTTCATTTTAGCTTTAAATCAAAATTCTGTTCCTCAGGAGTTATCACTTATTTAAACACTTTCTAGCTTCTTAGAGCACCTTAATTGCCTCTGTCGGAAGACATACTGGTAAACCGCTCTCCATTTCCAATTTCGTAGATTCACCCTGAAGCATAAATATTTGATTGACACTTTAAAGGAGGTTTGGAGATGCCCTCGAGTGAACACCTCTTTTGGGTGTCAATTATTTAACGAACTCGAAAAGCCAGTAATTAGCATTCTTAGGGTCCTATTTTTGTATACAAAGAAGGGGGCAATTTTTTTGTTCATGGGATGTCTAACATTAAAGTTCACTGCTTACTCCAATCGTGGATCCGATAAGACTTCATTAGCAAAAATTCTACCTAAATGCCTCGGTTGTAAAGTGCATCCTTTGCCTTTTCTTCCCTGATTTGCCTACCATTTAAAGATTAATGTGAGTGCTAAAGGTCTCCCAACTACAACTCTCGCCTTCGATAGCAAGCCAAATGAGTGCTTTGCCATTGTGCGATGTTTTGCTTCTGCTCTTACATTTACTAGACGTCAAAACTCTTTCCCATATTAACAAACCATCCAAAGGACTCATTTTTATGGCATTAAAAATAAAGAGCTCTTCTAACTTTCACCATGCACTGACTCTTCTGCACTGCAAATGCTCTTAAGTGGTCACGCATTCACCTTGACTCTGTGGACAATTTTCTTACCTTCAGAGTCGGGTGAATCACGAAAAACAGAATTAACACAACAGGGGTTTTGCGACCATACAGATGTTGAGAAGTGTTGGAGACATTTTGCACGCAATAATCGGAGGTCTAACTGTGACAATTATGCATCACTTCATCGGAAAGTGGCATAAGACTTCCTCAGCTTTCCACCAGGGATCTTATACTTATACTTGCATGTTCTCCCGTTTTGCTGCTGCTGTCCGAGAATGACTGGTGGAGCTATTCACCTCTCGATGTAGACGAGCTAATTGTCATTTGTCAAAGCTGACTCCGAGTATCACTATTGAACTAGAATTTTTTGATACCCTTTACGTAAGCACTGTAGAATGGCGAAAGTCTTATGTGTAATTGGTTTGTTTACTGAGAATTAAAAAGAGTTGAAGCATTCCGCTCAGTATACGCTATGCTTGCTGCAATTAATTGTGACAAAGGTATTTTTTTTTGCTGAGCCATGTTCGTGACTGCTTTATCGGCATGAATTTACTGTGCTACTTAAAAGTAAACATTTGTAAAGTATAAAAAAATTTATTCGCAAAAAAAGAGCTGACTTTTGCTATTTACCCGAAGCCACACGATAAGTTTATTGTCTTAAATCCTCTTTCGCCTACATTTCCACGTTCCATCTACGTGGTAATTTACCTTACCGAATAGGTGTATTTTTTTAAAAGTCAATTGAAAGTCTCTTTCCACTTCACCAAGAGCGTGCTAGAAGGATTGCAGGCATGTATTTTGGCTAGTAACGTGATTTGCTTGTGCGCAGCTCTATCAACTTAGGCCGAACCCTGTAGTGGTGATCGCCACACATAGTCATTCAGGATAGATAGACGTTTTCTCCAAGCAACTAGTTCGTCCGTCTATACCAAAAGATTTTAAATTCATTTATAAGATGTACCGCCACTTATGTGCCGAAGTCGCTCAAAAGTTGTCACAGGGTGTGGCGGTAAGAACAGGGAAGTTCATTCGACCTTGCCCATCTCCTTTCCTTCCTTCGAGTGACACAGCATCCTTTCATAGCGGAGACATTTCCAAATTCTGATTTTAAATAATGGTACACTCTAGGCAACATTTTTAGCGGCATTGGCATTATTATTCGAGCTAGGGGGGGTGGTTTCACCTTAAGATAAAAAAATCTCTTTACCAAGTGACATGAAAGTTTGTAATAGTTGTTTTTTGTTTTTTTAGATCAGAGGAGCCCATGTGGCCAAAGCTGTCAACTTTGTGGCAGCAAAGAGAGTCTCAAGGGACGCAAGAGGAGACATTGTTGAGTTCTCCTGCGGACCAGTGTGGAACTACGGACTTACCCTCTTGGTACTCGACTAGGAATTTGTGCAGTGGTCTCTTTCTCAACCCCTGGAATGACAAATCTAGGGGTAATACTGACTTCTTGAGGTAATCATCAGCGCATATGATGGAATTTCTTCCCTTTATTCCAATTAAAACGCATCTTTCTGCCAAAAGTAAGCATTTTAATCGATGTCCTTCAAAAGTAAGTTGAGTTTTATTGAGTACTCAGATTGCTTAATTCATCATTTGATACAAGAACTCCTTTTGCCTGAATAGTCTTCCAATTTACTCCTTTCCCATTCCAACCTCTTTGCCAAGTTATCCTCTGCATAAATTATTTCATTTGTTCACAATTTAGTGTGAGTCTATGGCAAGTTGGAGTTGGTCTTTTCGTCCAATTCTTACTGACGCCGCTTTGTTTCAAAACTTGCCTTTTGTAAACAAAGTAGAGAGGGATATTTTTTATAGAACTTTAGTACGAAAGACCGACAAGAGATGATTCGATGTTACCTCCTCAATGGTTTGATTAATCTATGTTAAAGGCACCAACTCGTTCACTTGCTCGTCAGGTCATCCGTAGGCTGGAATGGCAACGGTTGCATAGGAGATGTCGAGTGATTTAACCTACGGCAATTTACACATAAGGCGTGCACATTTGGAGTAACCTTGGATTGAACTTTTATGACAGACGCTGAATTGAAGGTGGTAACTTTTTCGTTCTCCGTCTAAACACGAAGCAATGAATAAGGACAATGCTTTCAGATATCCTACTACTGGATGTTCATTTAATGTCTCCTTTTACTGAGTCATAAGTGCCATTTGTTTTGCTTTTGTTAGGAGTTTTGCGCTGTCGTCTTCTCCACGCCTTATCTAATTGGCCATTGTTTATGATCGACCATTTTTTGTAGCGAATCCCAAATGCGACCATGGACAACGGAAAGCCTACCGATGCTTGAAACGACAACAAAAGAACCTCTTCACTGTCCTGACATGAGCCAGTTTGTTTGTAAGTAGCCTTTTGTTATTGCAAATGGATTCCAAAGTTCGGATTGATAAGTCTAAAGGGGGTATTTTTAAAGTCGCAATAAAACTTACAATTTCGTTTGAAGGGCGAGACCAGTATTTAGTGCGAAAGTCGTTTTTATTGCTTTCATCTTCATGGAAGACGATTTGATGGAAAGAATCTTTCACGCAAATGGTAAAGCGAGAAGAGGAGTTGGAAGTAAGAAAGTATTCATTTTCTTTACCCTTCTGCTCCACGATTGCTCTGCAATGCAATTAGTTCGAAGCTTTTAAAACCACCTTAAAGCGGAATGACTTTTAACCACTAATCCACTTTCTAATGTTGAATTAAGAAATTAAGGTATCTTGTATGTTAAAAGTTTGATTTTAGGACTAACATCATCCGCAGTCAAGGTAAAGGTTGTCTAGCCGAAATTGTGCCGCCACGAGCCACTTAGTCAATGATGTGGTTTTTTTTGGCTCCCACAAAACAATGAGCATTGCTTCATTTACCTTCAAATAGTTTATTCAGCTATTCCGACTGCTATTTTAATGCACCTGCGACCAGTTTAATAACACTGCCCACCCCGACTGTTTGCTTTGATGATGCTGCTTAATGCTAATGCCTGTTTCTTACCTTGGGATACTTCTCTTGATCCTTCAATTATAAATCTCCACCATCTCTACTTGTCATTTGTTAAGGTTCTTTGGTGACTCACCAATCCAAGCGGCTCTGTTGCAAGACCAAATGCCTATAAGCTACAAATGTCTCTCAATTTCATCCTTTTGTTGGGAGATTGTGAGGCATTCTCTCAGATACAATGTTGACACACTGGACCTAAAATCTTACTTTTTTGTGTTCGCCTCAAACCAAGTGTCTGATATATGCTGGTCAAGTTTTATTTCGAGTGGGAATACAAACCTCTTTTTCCTTTCTCAAATTTTAGAACGACGACTACAGTGGATAATTTTCGCACGACAATTGTTGTTTCCTACATATTCGCCTTGTTGAATTACTGCCTTCCTCCCTCACCTTTCAAGAGAGGAGAAAAGTATAAGCATGAATTGTGTTTTCTAGACCATCCTTGTCACCTTTTGTACAACCTTCATTTTTAGTCCCCAACTCAGTCACTGTCGATCACCGAGACGATTTTTTTGCTCCTCCTTTTTGTGCACCGTTTCATACTCATGGTTTTATTGTGTTGATGAATAAATGTTTGATGCATTTCGTCTTTCGTTTTCCCTTTACCTATCTGCACTTTTTTGTATCGCAAAGTTTGACAGCTACTAAAGCTGGTGCTATTCGAAGGATTATAGACTCGTCTTTGTCAATTCAATTGAACCCACTGGAAGCTTGAATTGTCGCATACTTGTATGTGCGACTGGATCTTAAAATGGGTTTATGCAATTTATTAACTGAGGGCTCTTCTGCAAACATATCGCGGTACTCACAAGTTTGAAAAAAGTAAGTGCAACATCCTCCAGCCTATGATCCAAATGCACAATTTTCTGCAATACTAAATGCTCACTCCGTTTTTAGGCGCTTTGACAAGCGATCACGAAGGGCACATTGGAACATATAATGCGTTATTTTGAATAAGAAGTGGAAAGGCATTATTCCAAATTTATGTTTGAGTCTCAGTTAAAATGAAATTTTGGACGTCAAGTGAGGAGCTTCCTTGAATTGCAACAGCCAATGAAGTTGTGACCAAACGTACCATCCTCCTACTCTAATTTGTAGGTTAACAACAACAGTAACATTGCACCAATGTCAAATCGTGTGTTGAATAGTGTCAACTAAATTTGTCATTTTTTTATATAAACGACAAGGATAACTTAAAACGGTCCAAATCAAGTTTAGCTACCTCATTTCCAGAAAAAAAACTCAAGAATCGTCTTACCCATCAGTGGAACCAGGCAAAACATGCTGGATCAGCCAGGCGTAATCTCCGCCTAGTCTACTTTTCGCCTTTCCAAAGCTTGATGGAGATGAATGTGGAAACCATCATGACAGACACGTAAAGGGGAGAGTGAAGTTGCCATGAGAAAAAGTGTGAGTCAAATCACCAGCTGCCAAAACTTTGACGGGCCTTTTAACACTATTTGTATCACATTTTGTGAAAAGTTTTACTCAAGCAAAAGTTGTGTAACCAAAGGAGTCGTATATTTGCCCTCCTAGTTTATACTAATAAGTAAAGTGCTTTGTTTTTCCAGACACAAAAGGAATCGCTTGTGGATAGGAACAAACTAAGTACTGTTCTTGTGGTTTTGAGGCTAATCAAGCTATTGGACGAGCCGTCGTTTGCTTTGAACAGGTCCTGGTTCTTCCAAAAGGTATTTGTATTGACGCTTTGATTGCGCAGTACCGGGAGAGAGAAATGTTTACCAATCGGAGGCAAAAAAGAGAGAAATCAGGGTGCTGACAGATAGAGTGACACCTCTCTACTCCATCTCCAATTGCGAATTTTTCTACCTCACCGCTTATGCGGAGTCCGGTGAGTGTGGAGACGGCGCCTGCTCTCAAAGAAAGTTTACTTACCAAGCCGTAAGAATAAAAAGAGCCTTTTTTTGCCATAAGTCAACAAGTCATTCATCGATTCGGTTAGTCAAATGAAGGCAAAAATTTATTCCACTTGCGTGATTGCCCGGACGAAGAGTGTGGTAGGTCTTGGTGTTCTACAATCATCAGTTAACTTGTGGCACGCAGTCACCCCCTCCCATTTGACGTGGGAGGGACCAAAGGCTATGCGAGCTGTGCACCGTTGACACAACTGAGAGTTGGCTTTTCCAAAAATGTTCATTCTGTCATGATGTATTTTTTTTTTCTTGATGAGGAATACCTCTTCAGTCGGTACGTTCGGCAATCAGGTTGCAGTCGCATTAAATTCCAGTGGAAGGAGAAGCAGTGAGATGGACGGTCAAGAGAACTGTGTTGTTTGACCAGCCTGGACCCATGCCATTTCAATAAGTTATGATTACTAAGATATCGGCCTAAAATGTGCTCGGAATTGGAGGAAGATTTTTTTTTAAGATTTCGTTTATTTTTTAAAATAAGAAGAGTAAAAGTACTGCTTATAAAGCCATTGCCAAATTTACTATCTGCATAAAAGTATGATAGTATGCTAAAGGGTTTGTTCAAAGGCTTTTAAATGCTGTTCCTCATGGTTTTACCAACCTTACTGATCCCCTCTTCCGCCCCCGGATTTTTGGATCTCCCATTAAGGAGGTCTGAGTGGCGGGTAGGTTACTTGTAAATGTGCAGTGCGGAGAGGATTTTTGTAGATCTTCGTGAACTGTCTGTTTAGGTGTTAGGTGTAGCCAAGCAGACATGCTTTGCTATCCCCACTTTTCACGATCCCTTCTCACCCCATGACCAAGCTCTGATTAAGATGAGCAGAATGGACAGGATCTACATCATTTTGCTTATTTTAAACCGTAGCTGACAAGTGGCTATGGAATGCCATATTCACACCATTTAGGAAGGAGAATATTTATGCAACATCACTTCCACTTGCATCAGAGGACTTTTTTAAGGCAAAGTATTTGCTTCCCTCCTAAACCCCTTTTTGACCCCCTCAGATTGTAAACATCAAAATAATAGCTAATGATTCTTTTTTAAACAATTCGAGCGTTCTACTTTATAATGGATGCACAGTTCCAATTGATGACACAAATATGTGTGACAGGGGATGTCGCTATACAATACGTTTGTTTAAGTGTGCCTTCTAGGCAAGAGGCGGTCAGTAAAAACGAGCCTCGTGAGGATCCGGGCGTTATCGGTCCCCGAGGAGAGAGCGCGCTCCGGAACACTTTAAACCGTGACACCTCCTCCTCCCTCCTCCTTTCCTCCCCTCCATTTCCTTGCTTTTTCATAAAGGTATGCGCATGGCCACCTCGTCTCCTCTTATCAGGCGTATGACGGTTGGAGTGGAAGAGAGCGATTCGCTAAGCCTTTTTCTTTACAATATTCTGATACACATTCACTCCCTTTTGTAGCACTTGAGAGCCTGAAATTACAATTTATTTCCACATCACTGAAAATGCAATTTTGACTTGCATTTAATTTAATTAGAACTCCATTAAATCTTAATTTAAGCAAATTTAAGA